AAGCCTTAGATATAATTGGTTCTGTTTCAAGTCAAGTTGTTATGTTGACGTTGCCGGTAAACTTTGCTCAGACATTGTCTGACGACAAATCCAATTGATGAACTCAAGCGATTACTCTGCAGTTTATCTTGTTTCAGATGTGTTTGATTGAGCTTTAAGGGTGTTAAATTATGTCGTTTATCGCAGTATTTAGAGTGTTTCCGAGTAATTTTTTTTCTTCTGGTTCAAGATGTTCCTCTCCCTGTAGCTCTCTTCTTCATGGGTGGTATTAACAAAAGTGTGGACCTGAGCCCTGGTGGAGCTAGCAATGCTGTGTTCAGTGACATCACCTTGGCACCGGGTCCTTTTGGAAATCCAAATGGTTCCTTGTTTTTAGGAACTAGCAATAGCCATATGGAATTGGAAAATCGCGGAGAAATTGATACAAGGTTTTCTATAAGTGTATTTGCTTGGGTGCATCTCAGTAATTCTAGCACTGGTCAAATAATAGATTACGGTTGCTCGATGACGGTCTTCCATTCAACGCTCGGAGTTGAAGCACTTTTTAAGGAACGGGACAGTTCTAAGAGTTACCTCCTGCATAAGAGGGGCGTTCTAAAAGCAAACTCTTGGAATTTCATCGGCGTTACGTATGACTACTTCAGCGGTATTGCAACTATGTGGGTTAACGAGAACATCGTGATGCGAAAAGTTTTGTTTGCTAAAATGGAGTTAGCGACTCATGGGAATATTATTGTTGGAGCCTCCAAAAATAGAAAGATGCAATTCCGTGGCAGGATTTCTTGCTTGCAGTTTTATGAACAAGCATTATCTGAGGATCAAATCATGAAGGTTAAAATACGATGTAATAAAACTGGTAAGTGGGTTTAATTTACTTGTCAGTCACAATGCCCGCAGAGCTGTAGAAAATACAGTTAAAATCGAAAAGCGCAGTAGCGTAAGATACTCAATAGAAATAAATGATAAGCCAACAATGTATCTCGCTTAAAACATCGGTAAACCTCATCTAAGAACTTTTTTAGCCGTTACATTATTTTATAAGGTTCATCCGTAATTTTTGTTTCGATAATTCCATTCTTTTTTCAACGCATGGAAGTATCTGCACCATCAGTAGAATACAGAAGTGTCGGATGCTACGCAGACAAGCCTCATCGAGCAATTCCAACA